TTCTTTCTTAATTTAATTTTTTTGTGAACATACTGTACAGAGGGGTTACAATTACATGGGCAGGATAATGCGTACATTTCTTATCAAGCATTGCAACCTCCTCCTTTGTTTACCCTTCACATCCCTTCCCTACCTCCCCCCTACCTCCCCACCCAATCCTCCCCTCTCCCCCCCCCCCCCCCCCCCCCCCCCGCTTGTTAAATGCTGCAATTCCATAAAGGATCCCTCACCCCGAGTCCAGACCTGTATCCACTTAATAGAACCAGATTAGAAGGGATTATTTGGTAGCTGGGGCTGGGGGTAGGTGTGGCAGGCTGCTATAATGCAATCTCTTCAAGCTGGCTCTCCTATTTACACCTGCCTGGAATCATTCAGACTCTGTGGTTGCTTCAGGACATTTTCCTGTGTAGGAGGCACGTGGCCATTTCTTCTCTCAGATTCATTTTGTTTAGGTTCTCTTTGCTTGTCCATGCTAGGAAGTTATAGAGTGATTTTAAGGAGCTTCAAAGGTTTTGACTTTTTTTTTCCAGTAGGAAACTAGCAAACAAAATCTGTGGTTGTTGTAATACTCTTGTCAGTTTGGTTTATTGAAGAAAAAGAATGATTTTTTTTTTTTTTTTGCTAGTCCTGGGGCTTAAACTCAGGGCCTGGGCTCTGTTCTTTAGCTTTTTTTTTTTTTCCTCTCAAGATGTGGCACTCTACTGCTTGAGCCACACCTTTACTTCTGGCCTTTTTGGTGATTAGTTGGAGATAATCTCATCGACTTTCTTAGCTGAACTGGCTTCAAGCCAGGATCCTCAGATGCCAGCCTCCTCAGTAGCTAGGATTACAGATGTGTACTGCTGGTGCTAGACTCAATCTTTTTCTATAGCACCTGGGTAGAAAAATCACTTTTCAGGAAGCAACAAGGAAAGACTTGTCCTGTTTTGGCTTCTGACCAAACATATGGCTCAGAATCAACTTGGTGCCACCATAATCCTTTGACCTAACCACATAGTTGTGAGACTTCCATGTTTTGAAAACTTACTGGCTCTATTCAATTCCTAGAGACAGCAAAGAACCCTTGTTTTTTGTATTGTTGTAGAGTGTATGTGTGTGTGTGTGTGTGTGTGTGTGTGTGTGTGCCTGCGTGTGTCTGTGTCTGTGTCTGGGGATTCCTACCCACATTCCTACCCACTCTGCCTCCTGAGGGACCCGGTGCCCCTCATCTTGGGAACTGTGAGTAACAAACGGTCTTCCAAATGATGGACTGATAATCACAGCAGCAATAGTAAAGTAATCATAAAATGTAACCTTTACAAACACCTGTGGAAAGTGCAAGGCGGGGGCACTGCTGTGACAATCTGGAGAAGCGCTCTGAGATTTGGGAAGAACTGGGACAAAGGAGGCATTGAATCCCTGTGACCTTCTTAGCACCAGCAACTCCCAACATGGGCCCAGCATTGTAAATTCTGAGAGAAATAGCGCCATCTTCTGGTACCTTGTGGTCTCTTAGAACATATTATTTATTTATTTATACTTTATTCTAATGATCTTTATTTTTTCCTCTGCAATCTGTTTGAATATTTATTTATAATCTTTAATTATCTTTTTTGCCGATCCTGAGGCTTGAACTCAGGGTCTATGCACTATCCCTGTGCTTCTTTTTCTTTAAGGCTAGCCCTCTACCACTTGAGCCACAAGGCCACTAGTGGTTTTCCAGTGGCTAATTGGAGATAAAGAGTCTCAGGAACTTTTCTGCCCAGGCTAGCTTTGAACCGTGATCCTCAGATCTCAGCCTCCTAAATAGCTAGGATTACCGATGTGAGCCACCGGTGCCTGGTGATATTTTCATTATTGTTAAATAGTTCTACAAAGGGATTTTGATTCATCCTATCAATATTTGAGTGCCATGCATCTTGATTAATTTTGAGAGCTTGTTTAGGCTCACAGCAAAGTTGAGCAGAAAGGACAGCGATTTCTTCCATACAAGAACTGCTTCCAGCCTAATATGAACATCCTCCACTAGAGGTGGGGGATTGCCTCCCTTCCCCAATGTGGGTAAATCTACACTGATACATCATTGTCATGCACAGCTCTGATCTACTTATGGTTCCACTCCTGATGTCCTATGTTCTAGGAGTTTGGAAATGTGTAGTGACATGTATCTATCCATCATTGCAGCACCATGAAGAATGGATTTGCCACCCTAGAAATCCCCTGTGCTTTGTCTATTCAGGTTCCCCTGGTAACAACTCATCTCATAGTTGCCATGACAACATCAAAAGTTATCACAGAATTCTTTCACCCCTACAAAGCTTCACAATAACTGTACAGGGATGGAACAAGTATAGTTCACATTTCTACCCTTACCTGCCCAAGGCAGTATCCTACTATCCATCATTCTTTATCCTGTACCCTCCTTTAGTTTATGATGGTCATTTGAATGAAAATTACATTTGTTTCCATCTGCTTTCCAGTTAATGCTGCGCCCTTTTCATGTCTTCTGATTTAGTTTTAAAATAGGTGGAACATGTGTTGCTTTCAAAAGTTAGGTCAGTTCACAAGGATATACTGAGAGAAGTTACTCTTCTTTCCATTGTCTGTTTCCCTCATTTCTACTCTGCTGACTCCTTAGAGATAACCAGGTTTGGCAGTTGACACTTCTGTTTCTGTTTGTAATGATAAACAGATTATCTGTGTGTTTCCCTATTTTTTCTCTTACCTAGCATGTAACACAAGATAGATTCCTCTTGAATTTCATTCACCTTTTTTTTTGCCTTTAGAATGCATTCGGGAAGTCATTCTACATCACTTCATAGAGATCTACACAACCCTCCTTGGTATAAGCAATCAAACCAGTCTCCTATGTGGTATTTTATACTTAGAAATAATCCTGCATTAGGTCTGTGGACAAGTGGATTTTTTGGCTGCATTCTTGGTGACGCATCTTGAGAATAAATTTCAGAATTGAGATTACTGAGATGAAGAGGAAATGTATATAGGAGGCCTTTCATAGCTGTGCAATTGGTGTCTATGGGTATACAGATCTTAGCTTGAAAGTATTTGAGGGAAAATTGTATCATTACCTATGTGAACTTTTATCCTGTCATGAATTCCTATCTAGTACCACTCTTTATATAGCATATACATTGTTTTAGGTATTATAAATCATCTAGAGATGATTTAAAAGGTAAAGGAGGGATATATAGACTATATGCAAATGTTACCCATTTACATATTAATATAATATTCATATATTATATTCATGAGCATCCATGAGATATCAGTGCAGGAGGGCCCTGGAATCAACCCCCCATGAAACAGGGGAAACACTAATCTGACAGTGTTGACTACTTATGTGTAGTCTTAATAGATATTGGCATTGGCTTATATTAACATTCTCCCTTTTTGGAGATTTTTGAATTATTTTCTTTTTTTCTTTTTTTCGGGGGGGAGTGGGGGGTCCGGTCGTGGGGCCTGAACTCTGGGCCTGGGCGCTGTCCCTCAGCTCTTCAGCTCAAGGCTAGCTATCACTCTACCACTTGAGCCACAGCGCCACTTCTGGCTTTTTTTCTTTTTGCTTATGTGGTACTGAGGAATCCAACCCAGGGCCTCATGCATACAAGGCAAGCGCTCTACCACTGAGCCAACTTCCCAGCCCCTGAATTGATTATTTTCATTCTTTTAAAAAATCAATATAGGTGTTATGAATTCTTCTCAGGTCCATGTATTCCACAGATTTGCAGTATTTTCATGTTCCTTAAAGAAATTTTAAACACCCTCTTTAGTTTGTTTTTTTTTTTCCAAATACAAAGTTGTTTAATAGATGGTTTAAAAGCATCTACATGCCCGGTGCTGGTGGCTCACACCTGTGATCCTAGCTTCTCAAGAGGCTAAGATCTGAGGACTAGGGTTCAAAGCCAGCCCGGGCAGGAAAGTCTGTGGGACTCTCATCTCCAACGAATCACGAGAAAACCGGAAGTGGCGATGTGGCTCAAAATGGTAGAGTGCTTGTCTTGAGTGAAAGAGCTCTGGGGCAGCGCTCTGAGTTCAGGTCCCACGAGGGGGAGCGGGGCGGGGAGTGTCCACATGGAAGGTTATGGAGTTTCTTCCCAGGGGCCGTTTGTGATTACAGTTAATTTCATCTGATTGAGCTTGCATCATCCACCCTCTTCATCCACTTGGATCCTGCGGAGGCTGGCAGGTGCCCACCTTTCCATGTTTCTGATACCGCCCAGCCTTTATTTTCCAGAGCAAGTCCTCCCTTTCTTTATCAATAGGAAGTCAAGTCAGAATCCTTATGGAACTTATTACCTGAATCATCATATCCTAAGGAATGTTTGACTGAAGTTTACCAAGTCTGAAAGTCACCACAGTCTCCATGAGAACATGCCAGCATGGTACGCCTGGGTGTGAATCCCAGATCTGTCATGCAAGTGGGTCCTGAGTCACTTTGGTCAAGGGCAAAGCCTCTCTGTTTCAGTTTCCTTAGCTATAAACAGATGCAGTAGTTTCATCACATCAAGGGCGCTAGTAGTACCATGACACGCCTCTGGACGCTAAAGGAGGCCTCTCAGTGATCGCTGGTGGGCCACTGCCCAGGCCTAGGACGTCCGCCCAGGGCCACTGTCCAGGCCCAGCGCATCAAGGCTGGGCAGCGTCCTAGCCATTCCCCGAGGCCCCGCCCACCAGCCCCGCCCCTTGCAGTAAATCACCTTCGGCCCCACCCCTACCTCCGCCCCCGGGCCTGTGCCCAGCTTCTAGCCATGGCCCTCACCGTGCGCGAAGCTCCGCCCTTACTCACTTCGTTGCCCCGCCCTCGTCCTGCCCCTACCCTGTCACGTCCCTAGCGGAGTAGGAAGCTACGGGTCCGCCCTGGGCGCCCCGCCCCCTGCTTCATCTTCGGCCCCACCCTCGCCCCGCCCTGGGCCCGGCTCTCCGCCCGTGGCCACGCCCCCGCGGCGCGTGCAGCCTCGGCCCCGCCCTGCCGCCGGGTCGCGCGCCCTTGGCAGAGTCGCGTCGCCCTCGCCTCGGCCGACGCCCGCGGGACGTGGGTTTCTGAGGGAGGCGGACGCCATGGCGGTCGAGGCCCTCGCGGTGGAGGCCGTGGCCTCGCGCCTGGAGCGGCAGGAGGAGGACATCCGCTGGCTGTGGGCCGAGGTCCAGCGGCTGCGGGACGAGCAGCTGCAGCCGCCCGACCCGAGCCAGGCCGCGGGGCCGAGCCTCACGCGCGAGGTGGCGCGGCTCCGGGCTGAGAACCGCGAGCTGCGCCACCGCCTCTACCGCCTGCGGCTGTGCCGGGCCGAGGGGCTGAGCCACGGGGCCTCGCGAGGCCGGGAGGCCGGGAGCTCCGCCCCGGCCGCGCAGGTAACGGGACCCGCGGGGAGCCCGGGCCGCGCGGGTCGGGCCGGGGCGGCCTGCCGGGCGCGCGCTGGGCTCCGTCCAGCCGGGCGGCCGCCCGCAGCGCGTGTCCAGCACGGCACGCGCGTCCCCACCTCCGTGCCTGCCCCGTGCCCCACATGGCATCAGAGGTGTCCCCAGCCCCGTGATCCCGTCTGGTGCTCTGCAGCAGGTGGTCAGGGTGGCATCTGTGGCCCCAAGCCCGTTTCCCTGCCTGGTGCCCCACACGGTACCAGTGTCCCCAGCCCCGCTACCCCCACTGACATCTGGGTCCCCAACCCCACTGGCCCAGCTCGGTGCCCACAGCACAGCGCCCAGGACGGGCAAGTGTGTCTCCAACGTTAAGACTTGTCCGATTGAGATGTTCTTTGCCAAGGATAACTGTGGTGCACTAGCAACATAGTTTGTTTGGTTTTGCTCTACTGGAGTTTTTGTTTTTTTGTTTTTTAAATCAGGGCCTTAACGCTTGTGAGGCAAGAGAGTCTGATCCTGATCTGTCTGAGCAGCTGGGGTTTTATAGGGGTGCCACCACTACGCCCCACCTCTAGCAACATCTTAATGAGATGATGGGTGAAAAGTCTCTGGTGACAGTTACAGTGACAGTTGTTTATAAGGCACATCTCCTCCTTCCTCAGGCTTCAGATGTGTAGCTGTTACTTGCCTTTATTATTATCTTTCAGCCTCCTTCTAGTAAAAGTCAGGAAAAAGATTCTAAAAAGAAGAAACTGAAAGAAAGTGAGCCAGATGGTGAGGTAAGCCATTACAATGGGAATAATATAAAATACCCCCTGAAATTTTAAAGATGGGTATGCAGGAGTTTTGACACAAACCGAGTTACTAATTAAATTATTATTTGGGTCATATAAATACGTCTTTAGTTAAAGATGAGCTAGTCACCCAGTTCTATTAGAAGTACTTCTCAGTTTCTTAAAGGTGAGATAGCAGATCTCTTCTTTGTATTAAGGAAACTAGTGACTCTGCTTTTTATTTTTATTTTTTAAATAAAAATCATTATAACAGCCTGAATGTATTCATTGTGTATCAGCATTTGGTACATTTGGACAAAGGAGGACAATCTGATGTCAAAGATATCAGTGTAGTCTGGACTTCAGATCAGCTAGGAGAAACAACTTGAGAAGAAAGTGAGATGAAGAGTCAACCCTCTTCTTCATCCATAGTTCAGCAAACTACAAGTTGAAAAAATGTTTGGAAGCAGTCCATTTAGGGACTTTTAGAGTCATTATTCCCTGTTTACCTAGTCTTTTGGTCATAAGCATCTACCGATGACTTTTAAGGGTACAGGGAAATATGCACGGGTTATATACGCACACTAGGCCACTTTATTTGAGGGACGTGAGCATCCACAGACTTTGGTATCCATGGGGCTTCTGGACCAAATCCCCCCTGGATGCTGAAGGATGGCTGTGTATAAGTAAGTGTTGTGTCACTCTGTATGTGTGCTAGAAACAGTAGGAAAGGCAGGTGTGGCAAGTGGAGTTGTTTGAAGGGGCAGGCTTTAACTGGACCCCTAGAGCTAGGAAGCAGTTGGATATGTGGGGCAGGGTCTTCTGTGGAGGAAAGTACAGGTGAGGCTCTCCCTGTGTATACTGAGCAGACCTTGAGGTGTGAAATGAATTCAGAGCTGTGCAGTAGGGCATGATTGGGTTTTATAAGTAAGTGTATAAGGGCTGTGTGTATTTATCCCAGTGTATCCTAATGATTTTTAGGTGAAGCAACCACATTTTATAAAAGAAAGGTTGAAGCTTTTTGAAACATTGAAGAAAGAGCATCAACTCTTATTAGCTACTGAAGAAAAGAATACAAGTGGTGTGATTACAGTAAAAATGCCTGATGGGAAGACGGTGGAAGGACAAATGTGGAAAACAACACCTTATCACGTGGCTTCTGGGATCAGGTAGGCCATCTATGTCAATATCTACATTTCTCTATCAGAAAGAGAAAGAGAGAGAGAGACACAGAGATACAGAGACACATAGAGACAAAGAGAGAGACAGAGACAGAGACTGAGAAATCAGTTTGATAGATTCAGTTATTATACCTGAGTCTGGAGAAAATGTTTTCTGCCTGGAGAAAATCTTTTTTTTTTTATTCAATTGAATAAATTGAAAAGGCCATTTAAATACATAATTGAATATCAGAATGTGATCTCTTCTAAAGGTCTAAAATTTAAAGTTCTAATAAAAATATAGTAGTGAGCTGGGCATTGGTGACTAACACCTATAATTCTAACTACTCAGAAGACTGAGATCTGAAGCTTGCAGTTATGAAGTCACCCCAGGCAGAAGAGGCTATAAGACTTATCTCCAATAACCACCAGAAAGCCGGAAGTTGGAAGTGTGGCTCAGGTGATAGAACTCTAGCTTGGAGCAAAAAAAACTAAGGGACAATTCTCAGGCACTGAGCTCGAGCTCCAGTACAAGCACACACACACCCCATTCATAGGAATATTTAATTGCCAAAATAAAGCAGATTAAAACCTAAAAAGAAGTAAGCAAAATGCCCAGCAAGTCTTGGTTCTCTGTTACTAAATAGCATGATTAAGAGGCTATTTAAGGTTAGGGAAAGTGCTGTGGTTTATTGTTAATTGTAAGAAGTGGGTTACAAAATAAGATATACAGGGGCTGGGAAGGTGGCTCAGTGGTAGAGCGCTTGCCTTGCATGCCTGAGGCCCTGGGTTCAATTCCCCAGCACCACATAAGCAAAAAGAAAAAAAGGCCAGAGGTGGTGCTGTGGCTCAAGTGGTAGAGCGCTAGCCTTGAGCTGAAGAGCTGAGGGACAGCGCCCAGGCCCAGAGTTCAGGCCCCACTACTGGACCAAACAAACACAAAAAAACAAAATAAGATATACATATAGATATACATATAATAGTATTAATTTTTTATGTTGGTATGTATAGAAAAATGTGGAAGGGTATGTAATATCAAATTCAGAGTGGTGAGACTGAGGATGATTCTTGTTTTCTTTATGCTTTCTAGGTTTCTTCTCTTGCTTATTTTTCTCAATAATTTGCAATGGGCACCGGTGATTCATGCCTATAATCCTAGTTATTTAGGAGACTGAGATCTGAGTATCTCAGTTTGAAGTCAACCCAGGCAGGAAAGTCCATGAGACTCTAATTTCCAATAAACTACCAAAAAGCCAGAAGTAGAACATGTGGTAATTATGGCTTTTTCCTCCCTAGTCAGGAAGTGGCTGAAAGCATGGTGATTGCCAAGGTCAATGGAGAATTGTGGGACCTGGATCGGCCTCTGGAAGGGGATTCCACCCTGGAGCTACTGACGTTTGACAGTGAGGAGGCTCAAGCTGTAAGTATTTAAAACCCAGGTGGTGGAACTTGAGCCATTTAAGGTTCACAATTACAATATGATGTTTAACAGGTATCTCCTGAAATTTTTTGGAATGAATAAACACATGGTTTTGTTTTTGTTTTTGGGTCTGGTTGTGGGCCTGAACTCTGGGCCTGGACGCTGTCCTTTAGCTCTTCAGCTCAAGGCTAGCGCTCTACCACTTGAACCACAGCGCCATTTCCGGCTTTTTTTTTTTTTTCTGCTTGTGTGGTGCTGAGGAATTGAACCCAGGACCTCATGCATGCAAGGCAAGCGCTCTACCACTGAGCCACCTTCCCAGCCCAACACATAGTTTTTTAAGTAGCTCGTATTTATTTCCTTAAAATAATTGTTTTCCTAATTTTCCTATTATATCAAAAGTGCATGTACTTTATATAATTTTAATATGTGTGGGAGAACTGGAACAATTACAAAAACTCCAGTATCTTTTAGATACTTATAAATGCAATTTTCTTAAATTTTCTTAATTTCATTAAAATAAAAATGCCACTTTTATTTTTGGTTGGTTGTGGGGCTTGAACTCTGGGCCCAGGTGCTGTCCCTCAGCTCTTCAACTCAAGGCTAGTGCTCTACCACAGTGCTGCTTCTGGTTTTCTGAGTGGTTTATTGGAGATAAGAGTCTCACGGCCTTGGGCTGGGAAGGTGGCTCAGTGGTAGAGCGCTTGCCTTGCATGCCTTAGGCCCTGGGTTTGATTCCTCAGCACCACATAAGCAAAAAGAAAAAAGCCGGAAGTGGCGCTGTGGCTCAAGTGGTAGAGTGCTAGCCTTGAGCTGAAGAGCTGAGGGACAGCGCCCAGGCCCAGAGTTCAGACCCCATGATCGGACCAAAAAAAAAAAAAAGGAGTCTCACGGCCTTCCCTGCCCAGGCTGGCTTTGAACCGAGATCCTCAGATCTCATCCTCCTGAATAGCTAGGATTACAGGTGTGAGCCACCAGCACCTGCCTCCACATTTTTTTTTTTTTTTGGGGTCCGGTCGTGGGGCCTGAACTCTGGGCCTGGGCACTATCCCTCAGCTCTTCAGCTCAAGGCTAGCGCTCTACCACCTGAGCCACAGCGCCACTTCTGGCTTTTTTTCTTTTTGCTTATGTGGTGCTGAGGAATGGAACCCAGGGCCTCAGGCATGCAAGGCAAACACTCTACCACTGAGCCACCTTCCCAGCCCTCCACATTTTTATATGTAGGTTTTTGATACACATTGTCACTTTCACTTTTCAGGCTCCTTAGAAGTAGTTCATTAATAGGTGAAGGAAACAGAAAAAAGTCATCAAAACTCATAATTTTTTGAGATAGGTCTTGTTTTATAGCCCAGGTTGGCCTCAAACATGATGTGTAGGCCAGGCTAACCTTGTTAAAGGCTAGCTCCCAATCATGATTCTCATATCTCAGCTTCCCGAGTAGCTAAGATTATAGGCATGAACCACCGGCACCCAGCTAGCTCACCATGAAATTTTTGATCCTAACCCTGGCTTATTTCTTCCCTGTTTATCCATCTCAGTGTTTCCTCACTGTTTCCCTAGTCCAGTATCTTGGAGGTTACATGTGTTCAGCCCCACATCCTCAACTCTAGTCCTCAGTTTATCAGGAGTCCTTGGCGGATTGCGCTTTTGTAGAGTATCTGGAAGGTGCTGACCTCTCTCCATCTCCACAGGCTCTACCAATGAATTTCCACTCATCCTTTTGTACTACCACCCCTAAAACTGCCTGCTTCCTGTTCTCTTCCCTTGAAACCCATCCCCATACTGCTATCAAACTGTGATCAAAACGTATAGTAGCCAAGCTGGATGGCCCAGGCCTGTAATTCCAGCACTTGGGAGTCTAAGGCAGAAAGATCATGAATTTGAGGCCAGCCTGGCTACATAGTGAGACTCTGCTTGGAAGAAACCAAAACCAAAACCAAACAAAACGTAAATGGAATGGTTTCTGCTTAGTGCTCACTAATGTGTCCATTGCAATTGGAGTAAAGCTCAGCCCCTTCCCAGGGCTGCATGGTGGCTGGCTCTTCCTTTCTGCTCTTCTGTTTATAACCTGAGTGCTGGCCACTCAGGCCTTTCTGAACCCTGTGCTTGTGGGGCCTTTGTTATGATTCTTTTTCACAGAGCCCTTCTTATCCTATGGATCCTCTCCTGGTTCTCTCCATTGCCCACCTCTCCTACAGTAGACTAATTGCATGAGGGCTGCAACTCCATTTCTGTTCTGGTTGTTTTCCCAGCACCAAACACAGTGTTTGGGGTCAACACAATGCCCCAAAAGGGGTGTTGGGCTGATGTTGGCTATCAGCCACGATCCTGGCAACATTTAGTAGACGCTGTGCCCCAAGGATGACCCTCTGGGTTGCTTCTCAGCGTGAGCCCAGCCTAGTGACCTGGGTCAGGACTGCACATAGCTGCTCAGTCAGCCGATCCCATTATAATCAGCTTTCTGACTGTTCTGGGGTTCCTGTTTAATGAAAGGGAAAAAAAAGTGCCAGCAGGGGCTTCATTAACCTGTACCTGCATTTATTTGGTGATTTAATTTTAATTTATGGGTAAATTGAAATTTAATTCCTTATCTCTAGACTAAGCTATGTAAGTGAATTTTAGTAACCCATAAACTAAAGTGAATTCCTTGGGAATTTGGAACCAGATCAGCTTTCTAAACTTGTAGAATGTAAGGTTGCCAGCAGGCATTCTTGGCAGCATCTCATTCTCCCCAGCCTTCATTCTGACAGAGATATAAAATGCCCTTGACTTTGGCATTATCCCAGGGAGCCATGTTGGCTGTCTATATACCCAGCCCAGAGCTGCAGCTACTCTGCTTTTCCTCTCTCCTGATCTACACCAGATTTCCACGCCTCCTCTGTGTGTGTTCCAAGTGGACATTCTCACCCCACACCTATGTGCTCAAAAGGAACGAGGCAGCAGCTTTTCTCAGCTTTTGCCAGGCTCTGGTGAATGCCAGGGAGAGCACAGCTCTCACATGGACATTGTAGACACATTGCCTGTATCCCCTCAAAACTCACCCACTTGGCTCATTTGTGGATCTTCCTATAAATGTCTATGGCTCTGGCTTCTGTCCTGCCCACACAGGTGTACTGGCACTCCAGTGCGCACATCCTGGGAGAGGCCATGGAACTTTACTACGGAGGCCACCTGTGCTATGGCCCGCCTATTGAAAATGGATTTTATTACGACATGTTCATCGAGGACAGGTAACACCCCTGAACACTGGCTTTCCAAAGGCCGTGTGCTTATTCCCCATTGTTTTATGATGGCTTCATCTTTGCTCACTCATTACATGTTGGATACTGTGAGTTAGGTAGATTGGTGAACCATTTGTAAAAATTGGTTTTTTCATGAGTTTCGATTCTAGGGAAATTTTTGATGTTTTATCTCTTTTTCCCAGAAAAATAGTATATGCTAGCTGTCTAATGTGAGACCTGCTAGTGCAGATCTCAATTCACATACATCTTCCTCTCAGGCATGTCCTCACAGCCACTGGCAGCAGGGACATGGTGAGCCCTTACTGCAGATCTATGGAACAAAAGCGTAAATGCCAGGTCCATAGGGAAGAGCACACAGAAGAGCAGGCTTCCAAGGAGCCCGCAGCCTGGCCAGGGAGGCTCCTAGCAGGGCAGAGGAGAGATGATGAGATCCTGCAGCATCTGTCTAGGCCCATATTCCTCTCAGGAGTAGTAGTATGGAGTGCTGGACTCCCCACTGCCCAGTGTAGTAAAGCCTCAGGCCAGTTTTCACGGGGAGTCACTGGTGAGGAAGGCCACAGGTCAGAGGCCAGAGAAACATTAGAGTGTCAGAAGGTCTATAGTGACGTACATGGTTCTTTCTTTTAGAGCAGTGTCCAGCACGGAGCTGGCAGCCCTGGAGAGCATGTGTAAAACCATCATAAAAGAGAAGCAGCCTTTTGAAAGACTAGAAGTCAGCAAGGAAACCCTCCTGGAAATGTTCAAGGTAACTGGGAAAACAGAACAAAAGCCTTTTACTAGGAACACGAAAAGCAATTAATGTGGGCTAACTTTTTCCCTTCCCTCCCCACTGCTAAAAAAAAAAGTCCTCTATTGCTCCCCACAGTATCCCCAGCCTTGCACTGATCGTGTGGTGGCTCATAGCCACTTGCTGTGACATTTCTGCTTTTCCAGGAAATTTTCAAACAGCTGTGTAGGTAAAAGGCCAGGTGAAAATTTTTCAAGTATATATTTATAAATCTGACAAAATCTGAGCAGTATTAATAGCTGTCTAGTGGGAAAACTGAATTCTGTATTCTTGAATAAAGAAGTTTGATTCTAGAATTGGAAATAAAGTCAAGAGCATTAAATTCAACAATATCTGTACTTGTATACACATTATGGCCATCTTTTTGGAAGTAGTTTCTGTTAAAATTGAAAAGAAAAACGATTTTAACTTGTAGCTGGGGATATAGCTTTGTGGAAGGCTTTGGGTTTGATCTCCAGAAGGGCATAAATAAATGAATAAATAATTATCATCTGTAAAAGTTGTTGAATTTGGTTTTCTAGAACAATATTACCCAGCAGAAATATAATGGAATCCACAAATCAGATCACCATGTATAATCTTAGATTTTGTAGAAAATAATTTTATTTAAACCAATATGTCAAAAATGTCATTTCAATACATAGCCAAATGAGGTCCTGCATGTTTTCTGCTTGTAGCCTCTCATGTCAGATTGCCTGGCTGTAAGGGATGGTCCAGGGCCCGGGTCAGAAGGTATAGCTCTAGGCTGTGAGCTCTTTGTGTCAAGTAGCTCAGCACCTGGACCCTAGTGCCTGCTCTGGCACTGCTTTATTTTTTGTTGTTGTTTTTGTTTTTGGGTCTGGTCGTGGGGCCTGAACTCTGGGCCTGGGCGCTGTCCCTCAGCTCTTCAGCTCAAGGCTAGCGCTCTACCACTTGAGCCATAGCGCCACTTCCGGCTTTTTTCTTTTTGCTTATGTGGTACTGAGGAATCGAACCCAGGGCCTCATGCATGCAAGGCAAGCGCTCTACCGCTGAGCCACCTTCCCAGCCCTCTGGCACTGCTTTTGAAAGAGGCATGAGTACTAATTTGCAAATACATTTTTCTTTGTAGTATAATAAATTTAAGTGCCGCATTCTGAAGGAGAAGGTCAACACTCCAACCACCACAGTTTACAGGTTTGTATGCATACATTTTAACACTTCTCAATGGCAAACCTGAAGATCTGAGAGGTTGAGCAGAGCATGTTTTCTAGAGGGTAGTCTGTCGTATAGCTGATAAATGATTTCAGTTAGGAGCCCAAAAATATTGCCACTTATTTTCTCCTTCATAGCTATTAGGATGGTACTAAGACTAATTTTTTTTTTTTTTTTTTTTTTTTTTGCGATACTAGGATTCAAGTTCAGGGTCTCTTACTTGCTAGATTGGTGCTATACTGCTGATCTGTGCCTCCAGCTGTTTGTCATTAGTTATTTTTAGGCTAGTGTCTTCCTTAACCCAGACACATCCTCAAGCCTTCATTTGTCTACTCTAGGCTTCCCATCCTGGCTGTGATCACAGGGGCATACCACCACACCCAGCTTCCCTCCATAGACTTTTTCTCACAGATTTTTCTGCCTGAGCTGGCTTGGAACCATGATCCTTCCCATCTTATCCTCCCATGTAGCTGGAGATGATAGGCATGTATCACTGTACCCAGCTGTCATCTGAAAAATGTCTTTCAAACTTTTCTTCTTGGGCTATCCTGAAACTGTGATCTTCCTAAACTCAACCTCCCAAGGAGCTAGGTTTATAGGCATGACCTACTGCACCCTGCTGTTATTTGTCTATTGTCCTTCCCTCTTTTTTATGTTCCTGCTCTTTAGGTACTGCTGGGACCGTCATGGTTCTATATAGAGAGTGAATATTTATATTGTTTTGACCATCAATATGCACCAGCAGGGAACTGCTTTTCCACAGTTAAGTGCTGTGGTTCTCTGGTGTCAATAAAGTAGACAGGAAAGTTGTGTCTCTTTGTGCAGGCTCTGCCCAGTACATCTCTTATATTACATGAACTTGTTACCATTAGGAGGGAGACTAGGTTTGCCAACATTGGCCTTCCTGTTCCCGTTAGTTTATGTGACTTCATTTAATTTTTGACACTCCCTCCCCCCAAAAAAGCCTTTCTTCTCTGCAATGAGTTGAAGATATCATTTAGGCATTTGAAGCAAAGGAGGTGAGGGATGAGGGAGAATGATAGAGTAGTAAATTTGATGAGGCCCGTTGTATGTTTGTATGGACATATCACTATGGAATCCCTGTACAACTAATATGTGGTAATAAAAATACTAATCATGTGAATTGACATTTTTACATGTAGAGCTTCATTCTGTGTGTGTGCGTGCGTGCTGATAGTGGGGCTTGAACTCAGGACCTTGCACTCTTGCTCTGCTTTTTCACTCACAGTTGGCACTGTACCACTTCAGCCATACCCCTAATTCAGTTTTTTTTTGCTGGTTCATTGAAGATGGAGTCTTGAAGACTTTTCCTGCCTAGGCTGGCTTTGAACTGTTATCCTCCAGATCTCAGCTTTCTGAGTAGCTGGGATTACACGGCTGCCTAGGCTGGCTTTTTTCTGAGTAGCTGGGATTACATGGGCTACTGGATCCCAGCCTCTTTTTGCTTTTGACATTTATTTTTTAAACTAAGATATCGAGGTAGTTCATTTTGTAAGAAACCAGATAATTGCAGTCCTGAAAACTGGTATAGACCAGGGAATATTTGACTTTTCAATTTTATGACAATGGCAGCTTTTGAGAGCCATGACCGTTAAAAGTAGCATCTCTCTTATATAATTTCTTTCAGAAGGTGTTCTGTGGTGTTTGAATTTGAGGAAAAGACAGAATATTGAGTTCAGAGGCTAGATGAGTGGTTTTTCTCCTGGACTTTTACATTTTTTTAAGTTGTTATTGTTAAGTAGTTGTACAAAGGAGTTATAATTTCATATAGAATCTTAATTCTTAATTTAGAATCCAGAAGAGAGAAATAGACCATTTACTTAACACATACAGAGAGCCAGGCATCCTAGCTAGTTGGGAAGTTGAGATTGTTAGGCTTGGGGTTCAATACCAGCCTGGACAGGAACAATTTCAGAGCCTCTTTCTCAATGAAGAATTGAATATGGTGGCCCACACCTGTTATTCTAGCTACTGAGAAATCTGACAAGTGAATTACACCCAGGTATGTACCTGGGTGGGAAGTAAGACTATATCTCAAAGATAACAACCAAAAATAAGAACTGCCAAGCATGGCTCAGTGGAAACAGCACTTCTTGGGAAGTGGGAGGCCCTGAGTTCAAATCGTAGCATCACAAAAAAAATGTGTGTGCGTGTGCATGTGTGTGTATATACACACAGACATATGAAGATATGGTTAGAATAATCGGAAAAAAATCTGTAAAAGTGTCCTAAATATCTCTTTATAGGTGTGGTCCACTAATTGACCTTTGTAAAGGCCCCCATGTTAGACACACAGGGAAAATTAAAACCATAAAACTTTTCAAGGTAAGAATTGATTTTTTAACTTATAAATACAGCAAACTTAAGGTAAACTAGATGATAAGGGATTTCAATTATATATCTGAACTCTGAATATGATATTTTAAACACTTGTTCTCATTTGGCTGAAAGTAATATGTATTTTAGAGTATTGATCCGTTAGAAAACTACATATGACTTTAATTTTATTTAATGTTATTGTATCAGAATACATTTCTGTTTCATATATTTTGGATAATTCTGTCCTTTATGTAGCTGACCTCCCATAGTCATAGGTTTTGCATCTGTAGAGTTAACAAACTGCAAATTAAAATATTTGAAAAAATTTCGTCGATACAGATGTGTGCAGACTTTTTTCAGGTAATAGATTTCCTAATCAATAGAGGATAACAGATATTTCCATAGTATTTAGTATATGCAATTTAAGCATTTAGAGATGATTTAAAGCCTATAGAAGGATCGTGTATGTTATATAGAAATACTATGCCATTTTATATAAGGTGAGAAAATAAGAATTTTCATACTTATGGAAGGTTCTGGAAATAATTTCCCTCCAGATAGCAAGGATTGATTGTACTAGGGCTTTCTTCAGTTGCCTAGTGCAAGCAAGAATATTTATCTCCATGTAAAATAAAGTACTGCAGGAAAAAGGACAAAGGAAAAAGGTGATTTAATAGAGAAAACATGGCTCTGGGAATCAAGAGATGTAGCAATGACTTTGTAGTCCAAACTTTTCTGGGCCTTTGGCTTTCTCAAAAAAACTTTTGGTGAACTACTGTGGTGAAATCACCCTCTGTACAATTAATATATACTTAAAATGATATATTAAAAAAAGCAACATGGGCTGTCAGCCCTGCCCATTTATGTTCTTAGTCCCTGAGCCATTGCTCACTGGGGCTCATCTTCCCTTTCTCGGACTGCCTGCCTCTTTTTCTTCTACTTGATTGCTCTTCAATATTCTTCCTTTCCATTCCCTCACATTTCATTCCTACTCTTCACATAATTCACTGAGGTGCTATAATTTGGAAAATCATACTTGTAATTAGAGCTTTCCAGATTTAATTAGAATTAATTTTAGATTCTCTCTAGCAACATAAAAAAGTCTTTTTGAAACAAGCAATGCAGATACTGCGAGGGAAAACCATGACTATATTCAACAGCAGAGATGTTGATACCCAGTATGTAAAATGTTTATCAAAATCTTGTGCAATGTATAGAATTCCTCGACATATTGGGAAGGCAATTCCGAAATGGAAATCCTGCAGAGAATCTATGGGATATCTTTCCCTGATAATAAAATGATGAAGACCTGGGAAAAATTCCAAGAGGAAGCCAAGAACCGAGACCACAGGAAAATTGGGAAGGTATGCCCCACTTTCCTGGAGCCATGGAAATATAAGCCTGTCTTTGTTTCCTTATGATTGCATTTCATACAACAAAACTGCTATTTTCCTGGTACTCATAACCTGAATTATCTTTTAACCTCTCCCTTTCCTATGTCTTTTATTAGTTTCTTTAAATTGCACCTTTATAATTTTTTTATCATGATATGTATCATGATATAAAAATAAAGCTCTTTTTTTTAAATGATATACACTTGATAGCATACTATTTACTAAGGAGGTAAGATACTGTATAGAAAGAAGGAATGATATTTGAAAATGGATGGATTCTGGGTTTTAATCTCAGTCCTTCCAGGCCAGGATTGAGCTGTGTCATGTGGTGGCTAAGGTGTTAACTTAGGAAACTCACTGCCCTCATCCCTCCTGCCGAGCATCTGATGGGATCACCGGGTTGCCCACACAGGGAAGGCTCTCAGGAAGTGACAATTATGAGAATGGTCATCATCACTTAAAGCCCACCTTTTACAGTGGACTTCTATGGTATTTTCTTTTTTTTTTTTTTTTTTTTGGGTCCAGTCGTGGGGCGTGAACTCTGGGCCTGGGCGCTGTCCCTCAGCTCTTCAGCTCAAGGCTAGCGCTCTACCACTTGAGCCACAGCACCACTTCTGGCTTTTTTCTGTTTGCTTATGTGGTGCTGAGGAATCGAACCCAGGGCCTCATGCATGCAAGGCAAGCACTCTACCACTGAGCCACCTTCCCAGCCCTTCTATGGTGTTTTCTGTCACATTTTCTCCTCGTGAGATCTTCTGAGTATGTCATGAAAGTGTTCACAGTGAAGAGCGTGTGATGACAGGCCAGCCTCAAGGCCAGGTCTCCATGAGTGTGCCCTATAATGTATGGTTAGGGGAAGTACTGAGGGCTTGGGAATGGCTGGTATTAGAAGATGGAGAAATCACTGAGCATGGCATGTTCTGATCCTAGTAGGTCACGTGTGTGCTGACTATTGAGTGATAAGAGGTAATGTTTGAAATGTAATTACTGTTTCCATCTAGGAACAAGAACTTTTCTTTTTCCATGACCTGAGTCCAGGAAGCTGTTTTTTTCTTCCTAGAGGAGCCTTCATTTATAATACACTCATGGATTTTATACGAGTAAGTTAGTTAAATATTTTTTAAAATTGTTATTGAACTGCATTTTACATTTTATTATTTTTTCTCATAATTGAGTAGTCAAGTAGTTCTATGGATTGTGTCTTCTAATAAAAACCTGGAGATGATTTTTTTCTTGGATTTAATAAAATGTGCCTCTCTAGAGCATGTAGAATATAAAAATGAGTGTGGATATCTCTGTAGGAGAGGAAAAAAGAGAAAGTGTCTTCTCTGGTACAAAATGTTCAGTTAGGAAGCTCTTTTGTTGTCTGCGGCCTGACTTCCTGGTGATTTATGAGTCCCATAGAAAAGAATGAAAAGCACTTACATCAAATTCCTACCAGTGGTACAAGTTCATAGATGGGAAAGTCTTCTGTGTCTGCATGGTTAGGACGACAGAGACATTGTTCAGAGGTGATTCACATGGACTGCTGGGGTTCCTGTCCATTCTCACTTCATTTTGTCTTTCCTGTAAGTAGTAGCTACAACAATCCACGGTGTAGTGATGTTTCAGTCAATGACAGACCATCTATGTAATGGAGAACCCATAATGTATCAGGCAGTCTCATTGCCCTGTCAGATTATGTGGTTGTAGCTGTCTTAGGTAGGGTAAGTCACTGTTGAACATTCTCATGATGAATTTGCTTAATAACAACATTCTCAAGATCCATCCTTGTTAATAACTGAGACAAGGTCTCAAGGTATAGTCCAGGCTGGCCTTGAACTCATTATGTAGCCTAGGATGGACTGGAACTCACGATCCTCTTACTTTAGCCTCTTGATATGCACCACCACACCAAGCTACAATCTTCAATAAGTTGATTTTTATGTAGCAACTATTACTAACTGACCCTCAGAGATTCTCTTACAAACTATAAAACTACTTGCAGCTTATTCTGTAGTGGTTTGAGTAGTTGCCTATTTAACCTTTCTTTCAAATTTGGTTCTCTTACTTTAGAATCAATTTGATGCCAAGATTTGTATGAGCTGGTATCTTAGAACTTCTTTGCATTATCATCCTGGCTATTCCCCTATAGCTTTCCTGTTTTGGATTGCTTCTTTCCTGGTCCTTGTCTTCTTCCTCTTTGCTAATCTATAACTCACATTTGGGGAGCACTTCCTTCAGTAACTTTCTGAGGAAAAGTACATGGGATGCACTGGTTATTGTCTGTGGCTTCACTAGTCTTTTTTTCCTTCCTTGCCTTGCATGTGCCTGGATCCTGAGAGTGATCTCTACAGACTCTGTCACTGGCCAACACACATTCCAGGAAAAGTGGCCAGAGAGAGGCAGGTGGAAGGCAGAGGTCAGGGAAGTTGAAGTGTCCCTGAAAGTTGTTAGAGATTTTGGTAGATGGTGATGACCAATCACAGTTGCTACTTCGGTTATATCATCCTTGCTAAAAATCAGCACACCACCCAGTACCTACAACTCCTAAGGAGAAGGGTGGAGATCAGTTGCTACTTTGGTTGTATTATCCTTGCTGAAAAATCAACACACCACCCGGTGCCTAGAACTCTGGAGGGGAAAGGTGGAGATGAAACAGAAAGGCTTTATGGTGGCCTTAAAGGGCTCTCTTATCTTTTATAGATGCAAGACAGACATGGCTGATGATCAGGCCCAAGGTCTGGTTGTGTGGGTTGCTGAATTGTAAAGGCATTTAAATATACAACCCTAGTAGTCTAATGCTAAGGTAAGGACACTGGTTGGGAAGGAGTGGGTCCCTGAGTTGTGTAGCACTCCTCCATTCTCTCTCTGTAGGTGGACATTCTTTATTTTAATGGGCTTGAGAGAGCAGTTGTTTCTGTAGGATTACATTAGCTTTTGTAATGAGAAAGTATTTGAAGATTTTTTATTCACTTGATGTATAGGAGCTCATGGGGTGTGTTCAGATCACCAGGCCTTGTGGTACCTGAGGTTGCCTGAAATTGTCCCTGGGCGACAAAGTACATTGCCTTCATGTTCAGAGTCATTTTCCAGGTTCCTTCAGGAGGCTAGACTGAGCCATTGACTGAGAGCTTGCTTTTCCTAGCCTTGATTACCTCCGCTCTCCAGAGAAAGAAGTTGATGGCATAGCATTAGATATACTTTCCCCCAACTTTTCGTCTGAAACATTCAAATCTACAGAAAAGTTAAAGCATAGTGAGTGTGCATTTTCTATTTAAAACTAAATGCATCAAGACTATAGCATGCAACATGGCAATGAGATTTACTAAATTATACAATTATTCTCTTTCTAAGAGATCAGGAAAAACATTCTGCTGTTTATTATATTGTATTTCAATTTAGTAGTTTTCAAAGAATTAAACTACTTCATACTATATGCTGTTGATGTTAATGGGCTTTTGTTTTTTTGCTCTGAAAAGACAAGAAACCATTCTAAAGGGGAATTTCTTAAGATCAGGTTTTCAGAGGTATTGGTCCATGGTCAACTGGCACTGTTGGTTCTGGGCCATGGTGAAGCAGATTATTACGGCGGAAGGGCATGGCTAAGCAAAGTTCTCCCCTTGTGGTGTCTAGAAAGCACAAAAAGAAAGGGGGAGCTGGGCACCTGTGGCTCATTCCTGTAATCCTAGCTACTCAGGAGACTAAGATCTAAGGACTAAGGTTCAAAGCCAGGCTGAGCAAAAAAGTCTATGAAACCTTCAGATCTAATGAACCAGTAAAATGTCAACCAAAGGTGTGGCTCAAGTGGTAATGTCAGTCAAGCAAGCACACTGAACAAATGTGAGGACCTGAGTTCAAACCCCAGTACTGGAGGAAAAGGAAGGAAGAAAGAAAAAGGGAGAGGAGCCCAGGATAAGACAAGGTCCTCAAGAACACCAATGACCTTCTTCCTCCAGTAAGGCCCACCTCTGAATGTCCCTACCATCTTCCAGTAATGCCACTCGATTATGAGTCTGTCATTGGATTACTCTACTTATCATGTCAGAACTGATGTCCTCCACCAGCCAGAGACCAGGCCTTCAACCCATGAGCCTTTTGAGGGAAACTTCATCTCAACTATAGCACTGTTACATGTTATACAATAAGTATATGCATGCAGTTTTTACTGAGCATATGTAAATCGTGTTCTGGTTCACAAACATGAATCATGAATTAAAATAGAAGACACAGTCTTTTAAAATAATTGCTCTGAGTACTGCCTTGCATGGAATTGTGATCTGTCTTCTCAGATATTAACACTAAATGCATTTGTCTGGAAGGAGGAATAGCTTGTGGAATTGGTGATCTGCTTTGGCAGATACTAAATCTAAACACATTTATCTTGAAGGAGGAATATCACAAGCGCGACTTCACCGAAGTGCTCTCCCCCAACATATACAACAGTAAACTCTGGGAGGCCTCAGGCCACTGGCAGCATTACAGCGAGAACATGTTTACCTTTGACATCGAAAAGGACACATTTGCTCTCAAGCCCATGAATTGTCCAGGACACTGGTGAGTATTCAAGGGGAAGCAGATTTTGCCTGAATGTAATATACCCTTCATCGTAGGTTTTACTATTACTGATTTGCTTTGTAGAGCTAAGTGATTCCTTTTGTCCACTTACCAAGTGATTTATTCCTGAGAGCAAATTTACTTCTTGAAATGTATTTGATCTTTAGTATGTGTGGAATGTTAGCTGGGGGTGATTTAATTTTATTTTTCTCAGAGGACATAATGTACATTTTACAAATTATTACATGTCCTCCTAATGGCAATATACCTCAAGTATGCATAGTTGCATATAGGAATTCCATACTGTGGGTTACTATAAAACAAACAGAAATTGATGGCCAATAGGCTAGTGGATATGGTGATTCCAATGTTCCTTTCCTTTCATCCCTGAAACTGGGATACATTTTATAATTGATGACACTTTAAGATTATATCACATTGTAAACCATATGTTATTTTCTGTCTTGGTGGCACATAATGACACATTTTCTTATAGAATGTCTTAGATTCTATGAGAGATTATAACAAAAGAAGCCAGGAGCACATGTGTTGGACAGTTGGTTATACAAAGGTTAGACCAGTCTCCTGCCAGGAACTTGTTCAGTTATTTCTGGAGCCCGTGAAGACAGACAGCCCCATCCAAGGGGCTTCACCCAAGACTCACTGTGTGGACAAACACAGGGAACAGATTTCTGGCTGAGAAAGCTAACAGGCTTCTTTCTCAGGGTGCTGCAGTGATGGAAGCTTAAGGTTCAGCCATTTCTAGGAGAGGGCTATGGTCTATAGCTCAGGGGTAAAGTGCATGCTTAACCTGTGTACCACCCTGGGCTTGACTCCTAGACCCAAAAAAAGTAAAAAATAATAATTCTTAGGCCTATAAACCAGAACCAGGAATTTTTGAAACTGGAGGCTTAACTATAACTACTTCTTTATATATTGCATGAAACTGTGTTTCTGCATCTTTTCTAGTCTCATGTTTGCCCATCGTCCACGGTCGTGGAGGGAAATGCCTCTTCGATTGGCGGACTTTGGAGTCCTTCATAGAAATGAACTGTCGGGGACTTTGAGCGGCTTAACCCGAGTCAGGCGCTTTCAGCAGGACGACGCTCACATCTTCTGCACGGTGGAGCAGGTAGACCATGGTCCAGGAGAGGCATGGCTGTGACAAGTTCACATGCCTCAGTCTCTCAGAATTGCTGTGAAAGTGTTTGTCCTGGATGTATGTGGCTCCAGTATCAGTGGTTCTTTAATGTCAGTCAACAGGTCACTAATTTCCTACCATAACATTTATTAGTCTTTTCCTTTGGAAATCTTCGCTTATTTTATTAACTTAAATTCTATTATGTTGAGTGAATTTAAAGGATTTGGAGGTGTTTTGTTTTTCATAATTGCCTAGAACTGAAAGAGTTTCAAAACCATCATGCAAAAGGTCACCACCAAACAAACACTGGCCAACGCTTTGTCCTGATGGGCAGATAGAACAACAACAGAACATGTTCTTTGAACATGCATGTGGAATGTTTACCAAGATACCCCAGGTCTCAACAAATGTAAAAGGATTTACTAAACAAAGTTTACTGAACAAATTCTTTGCTACAGTCAGCTTACAGTAGAAATCAATAACAGCAAGCTATTTGGAAAACTTTCAGATGTTTGAAAGATAAATAGCATGCTTCTAAATAAATAAAGAAGAAACACGAAGAAAGCAAGAAAACATGTATGTAGTGAAAGCACAACACATGGCAACTTGTGGGATCCCACTGAAACAGCATAGATGCTACCTACCTCAGTGAGAAAGGGAGGCACTTTCAAATCGGTCATCTCTGCTTCTACTTCAGAAACAAGAAGCTGGGCATAGTGGCACATGCCTACAATCCCAGTACCTGCGAGGATGAGGCAGGATTGCCAGATAGAGGCCAGGATGACTACATAGTGAAAGGCTACCTAAAACCAAACAACAACAACAACACACACGCACACACACAAAAACCCAAAACACACAAACTACACAGCATGATCACGAACACAAAGTCAACATGTCTTAACCAAAATTTAACAGATTGAATCTACCAGCTATTTTTTAGAAGTATAATGGATCTTGATCAAGTAGGTGCCGTCCTAAGAATAGAAGATGGGTTTAATGCTAGAAAGGAAAGTATTGTAACTTACCATCTTAGCAAATGAAAGAAAGAAAACATGTTCATCCTGGCCCTGGACCTGGGGACTAGAGTTTAAACTCAAGGTTTGGCTTTCTTGTTCACAGCTGCAACTCTACTACTTGAGCCATACTTCCAGCCATGCTACATCTTATTGCCCATATTAATATATGCAAGAAAAATCAGTAAGCAAAATCTAATAGTTATTTTCCATAAAAATTCAGATTAAGAATGGAAAAGAACTTCAACCTAAAGACATTTATGAAAATCTAAAGGTAGCAGAGCATGGTAGCTCACATCTGAAATTCCATGTACTTGGGAGGCTGAGCTCAGGAAGATACTGATTTGAGACCAGCCCTGGCTCAACTGACAAAACACCTGAGTGGCAGGCGCCTGTTATACCAGCTATGCCAGAAGCATAAATAGAATCACTGTTCAGGCTTGCTTGAGCAAAAAAGTAAGACCATGTTTTCTTTTCTTTTCTTTTTTTTGTCTTTTCTTTTTTTTTTTTTGGTACTGGGGATCGAACCCAGGACGTTGCACTTGCTAGGCAAGTGCTTTGCCACTGAGCTACATCCCAGCCCAGACCATGTTTTAAAAATTAATGAAAGAAAGAAAAGGGCCGAGGGCATGGCTCCAGGGATTGAATACCTGACTCTGACTAGTAAGTGCAAGGCCCTGAGTTCAAAACAAAACAAATAAAAATCAAAAACTTAAAGCTAATTTCGTACTTAGTAGTGAAAGTATGCTTTATCCCAAGGGTCAGAAGCAAGATAAGGATGTAACTTCTTGTTACTTCTACTAGTAATTACTGTACTAGAGAAGCTCTATAATAAAATAAAGCAAGACAGCCAGGTGCTCCTGGCTCCCTGTTATTCTAGTTACCCAGGAGGCTGGCTTCTGAAGTGCTGAGGTTCAAAGCCAGCCCAGGCAGAAAAGTCGGTGAATCTTAATCCAAAATAACCAGCAGAAAGCAAGGCTGGAGGTATGGCTCAAATTGTAAAGTGCCAGCCAAACAAACAAGCTGAGCAAATATAAAACTCCTGAGTTCAAACCCCAATACTGAACAACAACAACAATAATAATAATGATGATGCACAACAAATAAAAAGCAGAGGTCATAATCATCTGTGACATGAATGTCATCTACAAAAAAGTCCCCAGAACTGAGTTTTTTTTAACATGGTAGCATGGAATATCAATATATAAAATTAATTGCATTTTTGCATACTAGCAGAGAATCATTAGAAACTGAAAATAAAGATGCTATAAAGGAATTTAATTTGTAGTTGCTCATGTCACCTATGTAAAATTGTTGCTCTGGTTTCAGATAGAAGAAGAAATAATGGGGTGTTTGCAGTTTTTGCAATCTGTTTACTCAACGTTTGGTTTCTCCTTTCAATTAAACCTGTCAACAAGGCCTGAAAACTTCCTAGGAGACACTGAGCTATGGGATGAAGCTGAAAAGGTGAGGAGGAACCCAGTGCCTGTCCTTCAAACACTCGAGTAACTGGGACACCAACCCAGAGGCTACATCTTGTATCTGCTGCACATTTACATCAGATTTCCACTCTGATTTATTTTTCTGTGTCAGCTCCCTCCTGCAGGAGGGATCTTACCTCCTTACCTCCAGAGTTTGGGTGGAGTTTTTTGTTGTTGTTGTTGTTTGTTTTTTGTTGTTGTTGTTTTGGTCATGGGCCTGGGCACTGTCCCTCAGCTCTTCAGCTCAAGGGGAGCTTTCTACTACTTGAGCCACAGTGCCACTTCCAGTTTTCTGGAGATAGGAGTCTCATGGTCTTTCCTGCCTGGGCTGGCTTTGAACCGCGATCCTCAGATCTCAGCCTCCTGAGTAGCTAGGATTACAAGCATGAGCCACCAGCGCCCGGCTGGGTGGAGTTTTGACAGTTTTCTTCCCAGGGGCAACCCATTCAAAGGTATATTGGGAGACTAAAGGCCCCTTCTGTTGGTACTCAGCATCAGACCCAAGCACCTTAATCACAAGCCACACAGAAATTACTTAGTGGCCTAAGACCAAAGGGAGACTCCTACCCTTGTAAATCATAAAGATGTTCCCCAGGCCTCAGCAGAGGTAGAGGAAAGGCAAAAGAGAAGTTCTGACAAGGCCCATGGTCTTAGCCTTCCCACTGTGGAAGCCAGAGCCAAGGCCCTCACGCTTCCTCCTTCTCATGTGAGAGGCTTCACCCACAAGGACAAATGCGTCTTGAACTTTGAGCCAAGAAATGAAGCTGCCAGTGCAGTGAGCAGAGGGGCCTGCACTGGAAGTAGGACCCAAGCGTCTCTGCCCTAAACTCTTACCTGGAATTCCTTGGGACAGCTTAGTAAACTTCCTTATTGATACCTGCATACATTTCTTAAGAGGCAGAACCATCTTACTCACCGTCATGTCTTCCCTGCTCAACAGTTAATTGAGTGTAGAAGATGTGCAAGAAGTATATGTTGGCTGGGTGCTGGTGGCTCACACCTGTAATCCTAGCTACTCAGGAGGCTGAGATCTGAAGATTGTGGTTCAAAGCCAGCCCAAGCAGGAAAGCCCATAAAACTCTTACGTCCAGTTAAAAAACCACCAGAAAACTAGAAGTGGCGCTGTGGCTCAAGTGGTAGAAGGTTTGCCTTGAGCTGAAGAGCTGAGGGACAGCACCCAGGCCCAGAGTTCAAGCCCGACGACCGACAAAAAAAAAAAAGTATATGTTAAACAAAGAATGCAATGACATACTTATTGAACTTACTTTCATCAGGTCTAGAGCAACAAAAAAATAGATAAGTATACAATAAAGCAGGCACTTTTTTAAAACATTTTCTTCTTTAACAATAAAATAGCAACTACAAAATAGCTTGGTGGAATTTGGAAAACCATGGAAAATGAACCCAGGTGATGGAGCATTTTATGGCCCTAAAGTAAGTAGATCATAGGCTTCCAAATAAAAATTTTTAAATGATTAAAAAAAACCTTTTTAAGCAAATTTTTTAACTTACAGATTGATATAAAAATCAACGATGCTATTGGCAGATACCATCAGTGTGCTACCATTCAATTGGACTTCCAGTTGCCTATTAGATTTAATCTTACGTATGTTAGGTGAGTAATTAGACATGATAAATGCTACAGTAAGAGTATCCTTATTATTTGTCATCTGAGTATGAATAATGCAAACTTAAATATTAGTGAACCTCTCTCCTCTCTCTCTCTCTGCACACACACACATACACACACCTGCTTATAGTCTAGCTGGAGCTTTTCTTCATCCATTTTGTGTTCTATGCCAAAATATCTGAGGCTGGATACTTCATAAAGAAAAGAGGTTTATTTAGTTCATCATTCTGATAGCTGACAAGTCCATCCAGTATGGCACTGGAATCTGTCAAGGTCCCCTTAATTGTATCTCAACATGGCAGAGAAACAGTAAGGGAAACAGCTGCATGTTGAAGGAGATGAAGATATGGAGTGGCTTTCCATTTTAACAACCCACTCTCTTGAGAACCATCCCAGCTCTGAGAAAGCCATATTGTGGCTCCCTTCTGAGGTTAATGTCCCTAGACCTAAATAATCATCTACTAGGCCTTGCCTCTTAAAGACCTACCCTTTGCTGAGCTGTTGGGTATATCCTCATGGTTATAAGTGCACAGGTTACCTTTGTTGCAATAAGGTGCTATTTTATCTTTCTAAGAAACATGTACACAAGTCTTGGGGAACTTACCTCATTACTAATCATAATTTCTAGCTCTGTTCTTTTATACAGGGGAGAAGGATGAGTGTCAAAGGGTTTCAGGTCTGCCGATGGTTTTGCAGAACAAAACTCAGGGACGTGGTAGTGTCAAGAGTGTGTGCATTGGATGCAGCAAGCGTGGCTGTGCACACAGGTGGTGGAAACTGAGAGAGGGTGTGGGAGTTCATTACACTATTCTCTGCTTTTGAATGTATTTCCAATGTCCTGTAATAAAACTTCTTAAAAGCAAGTGAGAAAAGATTAGCAAGTAAAGCCATCTTTGGGGGAGAAAATATGGCCTCCAAACAAAACAATCTGTTAAAGAAGACACAACCAAAACACTAGTCTAAATCTAGACAAAGCTCAATATGAGAAGTAAAGTTACTGCCCAACCTTATGAAAACACTAACATAAGTAATTTTCATTTTTCAGCAAGGATGGGGATGATAAGAAAAGACCGGTGATCATTCACCGAGCTGTGCTGGGGTCCGTGGAAAGGATGATAGCCATTCTCGCAGAAAACTACGCAGGGAAATGGTAAGTGATGGAAAGGAAAACCACACTTCTAGTAAGAGTAAATGGATATGAAAAACATTGGCAGCTTATGCTTTCTATCGGCAAGTATCTACACAGCCCATTACCCTTAGAGGAGGAGCTCAGTGGTGTTAGTTTGTTCATCTATTTCAGGCTCTTTCCAAGTAGTTGCTATGTGGAAAAAACATATATCCTGCCCCCTGGGAGACTGCATCCTGCCACACTCCCACCTCTTCAACCTCCATTGTAAACAGCATAGACTGCCTTGGCCTGTAACTGAGGAAAACCAGCAAACCTGACCCTCCAGTGGCCTGAACAATGATCTGAGAGGTCAGCTCCAGCAGCCCAGCCCCACCAAGGAGGCCTGCTGGAAGCTGGCTAGAGGTGTGGAATCATACTAATGCAGGGCTAGCCTTACTGCTTTGATAACCAATTCAGAGATTTAGAAGTAACTAGACTGGAAAATAAAAACCCAACAGATAGATTAGGGGAAGAAGGCGATTGATCTCTCAGAGTGGCCTACTGAGGCAGCCTGTTCTGCCCAGCACAAGGCCTTCATTGCTGAGGTTTTCAGCATTCACATATGAGAAGTCTTGGGTTGGGTGCTGTGGCTCACACCTGGAATTCTGTCTGTAAATTTTAATTGTTTGAAAATGCTTGTCTGACGTATTTTTCAGGCCTTTCTGGCTGTCCCCGCGTCAGGTAATGGTCATCCCCGTGGGACCAACGTGTGAAAAATACGCCTTTCAGGTACAAAGTCAATAACCACCTTGCCATGTATTATGTGTAGGTCACTGACTTCATGCTTTAAAATATTACATCATCATCATTTTATTTCAACAACTAATATGTTCAGTAATTGGGAGTAACACATGAATCATGTTTATGTAGCTGTGTCAGAACTATTTTTATTGGTTTTGAAAATTTGCATATTGAAACATTTTTTCCACTTGTCTCTATTAAGAAAAAGCATCTTCTTATATATTACTACATAACAAATTACCCTAAGACTTGGCAGTCTGCAAAAACAAATATTATCTCAGAGATTATCTCACAGTTTCTGAGTCAAAAGTCTGGGGGCAGCTTAGCTGGTTGCTTGGGGTATAGTGTCTCGTAAAGCTTGTCATGGGTCACAGGGGCGTGCTGGCCTGGAGATGGGGACTGCAAAGCTTGATGTAGAATCTGGCTACAAGTAACACGATGAACCTATTATTTTCTTCCAGGTATCCAATGAATTTTTTGAGGAAGGATTCATGGCTGATGTGGATTTAGATGACAGTTGTACATTAAATAAGAAAATACGGAATGCACAGCTGGCTCAGTATAATTTTATTTTGGGTAATTTGTTGTTCTCTTTTTCCAAACGTCTGTTTTTTGGCTTTGACTCAAAAAGTAAAATGAGAAATATGCCCCTGCTGATTATCACAACTTCATGTTTACTTATACACAAAGAAGAATCCTGGCTTAGCTGTTCCTAAGTACTAATGTTATGTGCAAGGTTTATATAACTCAAGTTGCACATGAGTCCTATGATAGAGTGTTTTTAGTAATTGTTAACATCTTAAGTCAAATGAAAAAAGAATGTGACAATGACCTCTTCAGTAGACTTATAATGTTTATGTTTGAGCCATGAGGCAGGCCTAAACTGTTTCCCCCATGTTTTTCTGGTTTAATTAGAAACCTTGAAGATTAATGGGTGGAAAAGATTCCAAGTTAAAAATAATCAAAAAATTTTAAAAAGTGAAAAAAATAAAACATCCCACGATGCACATGAGTAACTGGATATAAAATCCTAAATTTGGGCTTCAAGAATAATTATGAAGGGCTAGAGGCATGGTCAAGTTATAGACTACCTCCCTAGCAAGCACAAAGCCCTCACTGATTCAAACCCAGTATAGCCACAAAAACATCAAAGATATAAAAGTAATAATTTTGAAGTCAAGAGAAACTAGCATTCAGATGCCTACAGGCCTGGTACTGCTATACCTCCTGTAAGCTGAAAGAGTCAGCAGAAAGCAAAATGAACGTATAGTGAGCTGTCCTACCAAACTGTCCATTGACTTTGTAGTAGTAATTGTGATGCTTTTGTCAGGCTTGCTGTGGTGTAAGAAATCAAAAATTAGATTAGAAAAAAGATGATATAAAAGGTAGAATGATTCACTAGTCACACCATTGGAAGAGTCGCCAGGAGCACTCAGCAGCACTATTCTTCCTGTTCTGCTCTAGCCCTTTGGTCTTCTCTTCAATATCTGCTTTGTTGTATGTATCAGTTTCTTCTATGTGTCAACAAGCATGGGTGCAGATTCCTAATTATCTCACAATATGGACCCCCCCCCCCAATTTGGGAAATTGTGGCATGGCTGTAAGAGCTCTCTGCTCCTCTTTGCACCCCAAGACCACAATCCTGTTCTCTCAAGTGGACAGTAGGGAGATGGGATGAGAGGTCATCCCCCCCCCCCCCTGCCCCCAGGTCACTTAACTGTCAAAGGAAGAAGCTAATGACTCTTGACATGATGGTAAATCGTTTATTTTATATGTTTGTTTTCCTTGTTTCTACAGTGGTTGGAGAAAAGGAAAAGATAAACAATGCGGTGAATGTTCGGACAAGAGACAACAAAATTCACGGAGAGATTTCAGTGGCTTCTGCCATTGACAAACTGAAGAATCTTCAGCAATTACGTGTACTAAATGCTGAGGAAGACTTTTAAAGTCCTTTCCTTGCACTTGCTTCTGCATAGCCTTGTTTTGATGACTTAAATGTATTAACCAGTTAACATGTTAGTTTTTCTTAGAAATTTAGGCCCACTGCTGGGGTCCTCTTGTGGCCTCAGTTGGGAAAGGAACAATGAACCATTAACTGATTGCAACAAGTTTAAAAACTCAGTATGTTCTGAGGGTAAGACAAGCTTGGGAAATTTTCAAGCAGTCATTGCCTCCCAAGACTTACTCACTGAGAGAGAGAAATGAGGATGGTTGAAAGTTACTGCTACAATTGTGATTTTTCAAAAGATGGGCTTCAGGCCTGGGTGTGTAGCTCAGTGGTAGAACATTTGCCTAGTATGTGTGAGGGCTAGATCTCCAGCACTGCAAAAACGAAACAAAAGTAGGCTTCAAATATACATCCACAGTCCTTTCTGGATGGGAGGAAATCTTACTTTCTAATAATACGTCTCAGGTGTTTTTATGACTGTTTTTACTAAAGTTCATACTGAAACTTTATGTCCAAAGTTGGAGTCCTACTTGATTTAATTGGCAACCATAAGAGAAGTTAGTACTAATATTAGATTACTGACAACTTCAAAGAAATTCAGTGCTGTAGAATCTGTTATTTGCACTGCAGGTTAAGAGTTGCAGTCTTAATGCATCTAGAAAAAATAATTTCCCAAATAAAATGCATCACACAGTGTTTCCTGTTTCCAGCATTTCAACTATGGGCTTGTTCCCCTTTGATAGGCTGACATTTCAGTCATGGATTTCAATTTTGTTGTTGTTTTTTGTTTTTGGTGGTGGGGCTTGAATTCAGGACCTGGGTGCTGTTGAGCCACAACTCCACTTTTGATTTTCTGGTGGTTAATTGGAGATAAAAGAGTCTCACAGACTTTCCTGTTGGGAGTTGGCTTCAAACCACAATCCTCAAATCTCAGCTGTCAGAGTAGCTGGGATTACGGGCGTGAGCCACAAGCTCCTAGCATGGATTTTTTATTTTTAACAGAAACAAAAATTACTGGCTGAGAGCAAAATTAAAATGGCCTTCTGCCCAAGGAGAATTCAGGTACCGAACAAGTATTTTATTTGGCTATTTGCTGCACAATTCAACATTAATGCATCAAAGTATGTTAATGGAGCATCAGTTGACTTCCTGGGGGGCACGAAACAGTTGATGAAGGAAGCTATCCTGTACCAGACCTGTGTAGCAGGCGCTATTGTGATACAAATCTCTCCAGGGTACTGGGGTACAGCCTGGCTTTCAGGAGAGGGTCCTGCTTCAGCACCCACCCTGCCAGGATCCACTACACTTAGGCTCGCCTTTCTAGCTGGCATCGCAGCTAGCCCAGCTTCCCTTCCTCGGAGGAGTCTGCCGGACTCCGCTGTCCTGGCTCTCTGGCACTCGCGATCCTCCTGATTTCGGCCTCCCATATACTTCGGGAGGACAGATGCGCGCCACCGCTCTCACCTATGGACTGAGAGGGGGTGCTGAAAACGTTTCTGCCACCTGGTCCGCCGCCGCCCCGCAGCGAGGCCGACAGGCACGAGCCTGCTCGGACGGCGACGGAGGCGTCACCGCGGGCCAGCCGCGAGGCGCGCGGGCTGTGCGCCCCGGGACCCCGCTTCCAGGTGCAGCCCCCCACGCCGGCTCCCGTCCCAGCCCGAGGCGCGTGGGGGAGCCGGGGCCCTCCGCCACCCCCGCGGTGACCGCTGACCCCGCGCTCGGCCACTTCCCGGGACGAGCCCCGCACCCGTCCCCGCACCCAGTAGCCATTTTACCGGGGAAAAGGATAGCCGCCTTTACGGTTTCGCCCGGGTGAGCCTTTCCCAGGCTCCGGCACCCCAAGGGCGAGGTGTGGGTGGGCCGGGGGCCGAGCACCGGCCTGCGCTACGGCGACGCCAACGAGAGGACCACGTGGAGCTGGAGAGAGGGAACCGAGCCACCGCGCCCAGCCGGCCGCGGCGGCCGCGGCGCGCGTGCGCACTGCACGCCTCTGCCCGCGGCCGGACACGCCCCCCGCCGGGCGTGAGCCCTGGGCCCCGCCCCCGGAGGTGCGCGCGCCGGCAAGATGGCGGCCGCGGCGGGGGCGCTGCGGGGCCTCTGCTGTCTCTGCCGGGTGCTGCTCTTCCTCTCGCAGTTCTACATTCTGTCCGGCGGGGGTGAGTCAGCGGCGGGGGTCGCGCTGGCTTGAGCCGGGTGGCGGGGGCGCGGGACCCCAGGAATCGCGGGCAGGCGGCGGCCCCGCGCGGGCGCGGCGGCCGCCGGGTCCTCCAGCTGCGGGGCGTCGCGGAGGGAGGCTCGCGCGCTGGGCCTCGTCCGCCCTTCGCTCCCGGGTGGCCGGGGTCGACCCTGGCGGCCTTCCGTCCGATCTGCTGCCGTTGGAGGCCCGGAGCTGCCCGCGCCTGTCACCACAAACAGGGTTCGAGGCCCGGGATCACACGGTTCTCTGTTGTAGGGTCCTTAAATCTAGAACATTCGCAGCCGCTGGCGCAGTCAATCAAGGACCCGGGCCCAGCCCGTACGTTCACCGTAGTTCCCAGGACAGCAGGTACGGCCGTTTCCTATTCTAGTAAAGGTGCCTATCTGTATCGAGTGCTTTCTCCTCTTCTCCCTCCGTCCTCCCCCCCTCCTCTCTAGCCCGTAAAATTCCTTGTGCTGTAGGAAGTCACCTTTCATTTTTGATTATCTGGTATAGGACCGAAGGCTAGATACACAGCCATTTGCAGGAGACAGTACTTTTGAGCAGTCCTGCCTCCCCCCTAGCCTCTGCTGCCGCTCATTTCTGGCTCTGGTTGCTATTATGTCTCCACCTCCTCCATCAGGAGCACCTTTAACCAGTTCAACTTACCTTTCAAATTTTTTTTTTTTCCTCAGCCAAGCACCAGTGGCTCCTGCCTGTAAATCCTAACTATTCAGGAGACTGAGCTGCAAGGATGGCGGTTTGAAGCCAGTCCAGGCAGGAAAAGTCTCAAAGACTCTTGTCTCCAAAGAACCACCCCTCCAAAAAAAGCCGCAAGTGGAGTTATGGCACAAGTGGCTGAGTGCTAGCTAATCTTGAGCAAAAAGATGCTCAGGGACAGAACCCAGGTTCAAACCCCAGGATTCACACACACACACTTTTATCTTCTAGAGCCCTGTTAGTGATGTTGGAAAGTAACTCCTCACCCAGTGCTGTGTCAGTTAGCGCCTGCACACACACACACACACACACACACACGTTTACCTTCTAGAGCCCTGTTAGTGATGTTGGAAAGTAACTCCTCACCCAGTGCTGTGTGAATTAGCAGAACAGGAAAGGGACTGGTAGAGAGAGACATTGAGTCTGGGTCTGGAGGTACTGCTGAGAGAGTGAGGACATGAATTATTCACTGTTGATCCTAAAGCCATTTCATCTTTGAGATTCAAAGTGTACAGCCTCTAGCCACATAGCAGTAGGAATGATAGAAAAGGAAATAGTATTTTGTAGCATTGGCCACTTAATACAATGACAGCAGGAAAGACCAGTTTATTTTTTTGTGCCGATACTGGGTCTTGAACTCAGGACCCAGGTTTTTTGTTCAAGGATGGTGTTCTACTGCTTGACACACACACCCCTCCATTAATGGCTTCTTGCTGGTTAGTTGGATATGAGAGTCTCACTTTTCTGCCCTGTCTGGCTTCAAACAATGTAACTAGGAGTGAGCTATCAATGAAGAACCGATTTTAAGTTACTGTGCTTTGTTCTGTAGCAACTGAATGTTTATTTCAGTGACTTGAAACTGGCATAGATATTATACTGATTCTTACTTGGATGTAAAAAAAAACCACAACAGCAATATAATTGAATTTAGAACATGTATTTCTTAGGAAAACAGAAGATTCTCCTCATTTGTATATTTTTCAGTCCCTCTTCTCAAGCATCCTTGCAGGTTTTTTAATCTTTTCAACTGACAAAATCATATTGCACACCTAGTTGGGTTAATTGGAGAAAATAAGTTACTACTTAATGAATTATTCAACTAGGAAATTAATTATTTGGAACTCTGGTAACATAAAACTGCAAATACAAAAATAGCGCAGTATAGTATATTGAAACATCAGTGTGGAATAATTATAGAATGTTTTCCCAAGTTGGAGCCGTGAGGGATGTGTCTGTGGCTTAATTTCCCAGTCAGAGAATTCAAGTGAAAAGAGCATTGGATTAGACATTGAGAGACTACTGTTATGGTTCTGATCACCACAGATGCCCTCTGGGCTTGTATAGAACCTCTACCATGTCTGAGCTTTAGTTTTTCACCTTAAAAATAGTGGAGTTAATTTAAAAAATTTAAATAACAAGAAAAGTTCAAAGAAATTTTTAAGTTTTCAAGCCCCCAGCGTGTAGGCATTTTGTCTGCACTGTTTATACATGAGCACCTCTGCTTTTCACAGCCACCTCGGAGGCGTGGATGGAAAGCTTTTACCAGTGTCCTGCTTCCCATGTCATGTGGCTAGCTGGTGGTGAACCCCACTTTCAATGCAGGGTTCCCTCTTAACTCCCAACTCCATGTTTTTTTTTTTTCATTCTAACGTGTCTCATTGCTAACACTCGTGCCTTTTCACCTGGAAAACTGCCTTTTTCTATTACTATGATCAGTATTAAGAGAATAAGCAGCTTTCTCCCGCCCACAGAGAGCACGGAAATCCCACCTTACATAACCAAGTGCCCAAGCAATGGCCTGTGTAGCAGACTTCCTGCAGATTGCATGGACTGTGCCACAAATTTCTCCTGTGTCTACGGGAAGCCCGCCACATTTGACTGCACGGTGAAACCGTTTGTTACCTGTGTTGTGAGTATGGCAGCTTATTTATGCTAAGTAACCACATCTGTAAACCTGTTAAAAGTATAATTTCAATGTGGCTATTGTGAAGGGACGTAGTCTGAAAGAACTTGTATAGTCTTTTATTATTGTCTTGCAACATATATAAATAGATTTGTAATAAAATGGTGGTACACCTCTGTAGTCCTAGCCACTTGGGAGGTGGAGGCAGGAAGATCACAAGTTGATGGCCAGTCAGGTTGAAGTCAGTGAGACTCTATCTCGGAAACAAAATTAGGCCGGGCACTGGTGGCTCTCACTTATAATCCTAGCTACACAGGAGTCTGAGATCTGAGGATTGAGGTTCAAAGCTAGCCTG